ACACACTGGACCTTTAAAAGGTTTCTCACGTCATCAGTAGTGCGTGTTACATAATAAACATTACTGATATACCACAAAGAATTCACATTTTGATTTTATTGACTAAAACATACTAAATTGTCCCAAACCACCTCATATTCAAAGTGAAAATTAGGTGGAATCACATGTAAAATTGAAACCAAACTGGCACTTCATATGATTTATGGCTTTTTACTGATTACAAGTTGGAAGATGTTTCACAGCCTTGCGTCACTTGCTCCTGCCTGCGAGCCATTTTAGCACTATTTAACCAAAATAAAAAGTATAAGGCACACAAACACCAGCAGTCTAGTAAACTTTAGCTTTTCCTCCCATTCTTTCTTACTGTCTCACTCTCTCTGTCTGCCCCTCTGTTTCCCCCATGGCTCCCCCCAATGGGCCCTATCTAATAAAGCAGAAATGCCAGGCAAATAATCTTCAAAACATTTTAGTCTATATGCGCTCTGTACTCCAGTAGATATCTCAATGCAGCCTTGTGCCATCCCAGTGGACAGATTAGTGCAATTCATTGTCTTCTAGCCATTAGCAGCAGGGAGGGAAAAAGGGAGATTACGATGAGGGGATTATACTGGCACAAAGTCTTCTCCCTCTAATGGCCTAATCTCGTATTCTGCTGACCTCCCGTGACCTCTTCACACGGCTTCCCACAAACCAGCTCAAACAAAGACTCAACAGTGTTTTTTGGCCTTTAGTTCACATTGTTTTGTTTGGGTTTTATTTTTCCTCTTGTGTTTTTCTTTGTTTAGCTTCTTTTCATGACTAAATTAATTAAACAGAAGTGCACCATCTTTTATTGCAATTTGCTGTGGACTTCTGAATGGAAGTGTGATTGGTTACAGACAGTTCAGTTCCAGTAAATATCTGTTTGTTTGTTTTTTTCTGATTGTGGACCCCATATGTCACATATAACAGATAAAAAGAAAGCAATGACAGTATTTTGCCTTCTAAATACCTTAATCTCACACATTACTGTCTTTTTTTTTTTACGTCAACACTCTTACTCAGTAGCTACAAAATCACTTTTTGGCATCCATTTTGCACCTCTCTGTTTTTCTTATATGAAGTAACACTTTAGAACTTCATTATTTCAAAGCATTACACCTGGTATACACTTAATTAACACAGATAGATGGCATTTATTAGTTTGCACTGAGCTTCTGAGATGTTGATATTTCTCAATCTTGTCACCACATAACACTTAAGGAACACAAGCCTGAATCTAACATACTGGTTGAGACAGCCATGGTGAATGGTGAACTTTCATTCAACCAAACCCCTATAATAGTGAGTGTCAATGTTCCCAAGAGCCATGTTGATGGGATATTCTTAGCCTTATGGGCAAGGAGAAGGGGCAATAAAAAAGACTTTTCCTTTTAACGTTGATTAAACTTGTATCACATAGCTAGAATATTAAATGTCACATAAATAAAACCAATCAATCACATTCTTGAAAAGGTCTAATTGCTCATTTGATCTTTTGTCTCCCCTAATATACTCACTTACTCAAAAGGCAATATCTTTAATGGTCATTGCTGTTGTGTACCTATTTATTGTGTACGTAACTTTTGTCCTTTTCTATTCATACATGATTTTTTTAAATAAAAAAACGTTTGCCCACATTACATTGATAGTAAAGGAGTGAATTTGGTTTCTTTGATACACTTCACATTGTGACATGGCTACTGTTTAAGACATGTTTTATGACACTGTCCTGCAGTGTCCTTCTCTTCACCCTGCTTAGCTTTTACTGTTCGCCAACTCGTATCCTTCCTCCATGTTCTGGACAAAGAAAGCCATCACTCCCTGGGCTTTAAATGTATGTTCTCACACGCTGGCATCCAAAGTCATAGGTCTGTAGAGAGGAGTCCTTAAATGACTTTCAAGGAAAACAAGATCAGACAAGCACTGTTATCTATAATTTTAGACTAGACCTTGATCAAATATGAAAATGTTGTGTCAAAGTTTTGATTTTTTATTTTTATTTATATTACTGTGAGCAAGGTTGTAGCCAGAGATTGAATAAAGAATGTTTATCCACGGGAGCAGGTATGGAGCATTTTACTATCTCAAACAGTAATGGGACATGATGGGTAAATTCATGCATTAGGTGTTCTGATAATACTGATCAGTATGAATCTGACAGTTGCATTGGTTGGCTGTCTGTGGTCTGTTCATCATCATTTGTTTGTTTTTAGTTGCATTGCTACTCATGTTATGGATGGTTGGGCAAATCCAAATAGATGTATGGACATACTGTACTGAGGTTCATATCACCACTGGGCACTGAAGATTTGAGATTGAATTTACAATATCATGTTAAAAAAATATAATTTCCAACCCAGAACTTCACTAAACATTTGCTATGTCATATTACTTGGCAAATATGGGCTTTTGCTGTCCTGAGAGAAGATATTTTTATGCATACTACACTGAAACACTTGAGATACAGCTTGACTCAGATCCCAGTGGGACTTTTCTTCACATCCATCTTACTCACACATGTACAAGAACATCCTTTGACTGGGTTACACATACATGCAGTCATGTCTGTGATGACAAATCCATTGGGGCCATTTTCCCTAGAAGGGCATTTTTTGAAACAGCATTTCCTTCTTTAGTGGGCAGCGTCTTAGTCTTTAACTTTTATCAGCAGCAGGAAGTGTAAACACAATGCCTTCTGGGAAATGCCGTCGGGTCTGCTAATGAAGGGTCATCATTAGTTAGAGGACACACCCTTCCTGGTATTCAGCTGCTGAGTGCATGTCTGTCTCAGTTTATGTCTCTCTCTTTGCCGTCTCACTTTGTTTCTGTCTGTGTCTCTCTCACTCATTGGTTTCTCACTTCTGCGCTCTCTCTTCCTTCCACTTGGTCATTCTTTTCTTTCTGTCTCTTTCTTGCTTGTTCTTTCAATCATTTATTTCCTCTTAAATGTCTTCCTCCCTAGTTGAACCTCTCAAGGTGAAAACTCTATCTTGTTTTTCACAGTCTATTTCTGTCCCCTGTCTATCATTCCTCTTTTTTCCTTTTCTCACCTTTTCTTCTTCACCTCTCTTCTTTTTCATCCCTGTCACTCTCTCCACCTCACCTTAAAAGCAGATATAGCACTTGGTAAGATGGTGCGGAGGATAAACACACCTATATAACCAGTATTTTAGTTGCAATCTAACTCCAGTTCCCTGTTGAATCCTTTACTGTTTTACTTTTAAATGAGTAGATGGTATACAGACTGATGTATGAAAAGTGCAGGAGTGTTGAGTATGATCAAAAAGAGTTTAAATG